CAGCCGGGTCCCCAGAGCCCAGCTCCCTGCCAGCCTGTCCAACCTCCTGGCCCAGCCCAGCAAGCACAGCTTCCGTAGGACCCTTCTTCTGCCTTTCTTGATCCTCTTGGATCCCTTAGACTCTGAAGCTTCCCCACACTCCAGCGCCCCAGCTCCTCTGTTCCCTAAAGCCTCCAATGAAATCTGGGCACCCTCTTCCTAGCCTGTTTTTCAGTCCTCCTCTAACCCTTGGCCAATTCTAGGCCTCCAAGCCTCCCCTGGGGCCTGACCTCCTGAGCCAGAGCTGGGCCTACTCACCTGAACGCTGAGGGGCCTTGCCGGCAACTCCTCCTGGCCCCTGGGGGCAGCACGTTGGGAGGGGTGGAGGAGGGATAACTTGGGGTGGGGGGTTAGGGTGACTGTTCCCCACTCCAGCTCCCTCCTTCAAAGGGGCCGCCTACGACCTGGCCCAGCCCCTCCCCCTACAGCCTTAACCCTCTGGGTGCTGTCCCCCTCCCCCCAGCTTGGAGGGAGGGGTTACAGAAGGACTGGCAGCGTGGGAGAAGGCCCAGAGTCTCTGACTGCAGTGCCCAAAGCCCCAGCTGTCCCCACCCCCGCCTGTCCTTACTCAGTCCTAAAAGGGGAAAAAGGTGAGGGGTAGGAAAGGTAGGCGCCGGCCCAGTCCAGGAGGACAGAGGTGAGGAGGAGCAATGGGAGAGGTTGTTGGAGGTGGGACCAGGAGAAGGAAGAAGGGAGGGGAGGGGACAGAAGACAGCCTTGGCCAAATTGGGAGGAGGGGAACTCTGGACAGTCAGTGCCAGGGGTGACAGGTGCCTAGGTCCCAGCCCCTCAGGGTATGTGGGATTAGGGGAACATAAAGAGACCCTCCAGACCCTTGTAAGCTCTTGCCCCGTTCTGGGAGCTGTCCGGATTCTCTTCACCTTGTACCAGGCTGGGGCCCTCAGGGGCTGGGCAAGGCGGCACCCGCCCTCCTCATAGCCTCACCCCAAACCCACTCACATACCACAGTTCCTCGCCAGGGCGCCAGCCCTGCCAACCAGGCCAGGGGGCAGCACTCATGCCAGACCCCAGTGACCAGGGGGACAGAGCTGGCTGAGGAGGGGTAGACATATTGGGGGGAGCTGTAGGCACCGAAAGAGGAAGGAGCTGGGAGGGGGCATCTGCTGGGAAGCTCCTCGCCCCACCCCTTGCGCAAGCTACTGCTACCCTGGCTGGTTGGGTGGGACCCGCCTGGGCCTCAGGGGGCAACTCAGGAAAGCTCTGAGATGAACTGGGTGGGCCACAAAATGTCATGAAACCCCTGGGATTTCTTATTCTTGGAATGAAAGGTACCCCAATATCCTCCAAACAGTAGTCCATCCTGCTAGGCTCAGAGAGAATCACAGAAATGTCCCTGAAGATACCCCCTCCCTGCTACCCCTAACAGCTGCTGGCTCAGTGCCGCTGGCCTGCTGCTCCTCACCGGCTCCCGGCCTGGCTGGCAGCTACCCACCAGGATGCTGGCAGTCCTGCCCGCCTCTCCCTCCTACCCCCTGCTCGCAGTGCCCTATGCCAACTGTGGGCCTGGGATGGGGGAGGGTCACTTCTGTGCCTTGGTGCCAAGGCAGGCGGGCCCAGGCCCCTGAGGTCCTATAGATAAGCTCCAAGACCCTGTCCTTAAGCCACCTCCTTAAGAGGAAGCATATTGCTTAGGGTTGATACAGAGAATGGATAGGCCTATGAGCAGTTACTGAAGGATCCACACCCCAAGGTGGGGACCAGTGTCTCTCCTGTCACCAGGCGCCAATCTCCCAGCATTCCCCTTACAAATGCTTGGGCACCAAAGTCCCTGCAATTCGTAAGAGCCCCAGTCGAATGCCTATAGCCCGTGAGGGAGTAGGGTGGGGCTGCTCCCTGCCCTTTGATCCCCATAAAGGGAGAGAACTACCCTGGAGGGCAGGGGGCAGGGAAGGAGTTCATGAGGCCCCTCATTTCCCCTGCCAGGGGCATCAGGGCAGGGTGTGGACATCTCTTGGGTGGGGCTCATCCTAAGGTGAGGATGGGTAGTATGTCTCAGCAATGAGAGATGGATGTCAATATCTGGTGTCATATGGAAATGCAGTGGCAAAAACAAAGTAAGGAGAATATAGAGGGGTCTCTGTTACAACCCACTCCAATATTTTTACCCTTACCCAGAAACACTCTTAGACTTAGCCAAACTGAGAGCTCAAGGACTACAACTCCCAGTGTGCACCACAACTGTTTTGCATGTGTACTGGGAGTTGTAGTTCCCTTAAGAAGCCCTGGGTTGTTCTCTTCCCAAGAGCTTAGCTGGTAAGTTAGAGGAAGAACGGTCACAGACCTCTCTAAGTGGAATGCTATTTAAGAAGAGTAAGACAGGTTAGTAGGTTCATGGTGGGGAAAGAAGACCCCCTTACTCCAGGCAAAGGGGAAAGAAAGGAGGAAGGAAGGAGGAGAGGATGTCTGTTGAAAGGGGTATATGGTTGGGGAGGAGCTGGGGGGTTGGGGGGAGTGGAAACAGGAAGGAAACTGAAGCCAGAGACATGAAGTCGAAAGCAAGGTCTTGGGGGAGCCCCACTGTGAGGCGTGGCAGAGACTGGAAAGACATTTCTCCTACCATTCTGGTGTCCTGCAAAGGTATAGGAGGAATTAGTGATGTTAAGTGATATCCAAGTAGTGTGTGTGTGTGTGTGTGTGTGTGTGTGTGACTGTCTCCACTTATTTGCCATCAACCCTCTTTTGCCAAGGGTACCCTCAAAGTCTGGATGTGGTATAGGCATTTGCAGGTTAGGAACCTCTGAAGGTGCTGGAAAGCTAAAAGGCAAAGGAAGAGTTTGGGGCAAGGAAGGGCTCAGTCTGGGGGTGAACACAGAGGAGGGAGTCCAGGTTAGGTCCAGGTGTGAAGTAAGGGCAGGGCAGAGACCTCAGGAGCTAGGAAGCCTCAGGGAAGAGATGGCTAAAGGGACCCAGTATCATCTGCTTCCTATCCATCCCAGGCTGTGGGCCACAAGAGGGAAGCCTTCTTTGGCCTTGCTGAGGCATTTGCTAAACGTACCTGGACTAACGAACATGGCCTACGAACATAAAGATACGGCATCTCAGAACCAGATGCCAGCTGGGTGCCTTCCCAAGGCCTTAGCTTGGCTAGGTGGTGGTGGTAATGGGGTCTTTCTTAACCCTCCAGTTCTTAATGGTGGACCAGTAATTCTATCCCTTCTCCTCAGTCCCCCAGGCCTGCACTGGTACCTGGACACTTGTGTGTTGGCAGGACTGGAGGGGGGCAGCAAGGCAACTTCAAACTGTCCGGGCAAAACGTCAAGTTTACTCACGAGTTTACTCAGCAGAAGGAGGGGGGAAGAGGACAGAGAAGGCACACCCCATGCCAGGGTCCTATCCATCTGCCTGTCTCCACCTTCCTCCCCCACCCTCCTTTTTAGCCCTAGGCCAAAGCAGGCACAAGCCCCAAGGCCTGGTGGCAGGGCTGTCTTAACTCTCAGGAAGGTCAGAGAGCCAAGCAGGCTGGAGGCAGGAAGCCCTGAAGCAGGCCCAGAGGCTTCTATCAGAGGGCAGTGCCCTGCCTGGAGCCCATTGACTCCCCATCTTAGGTCTTTGGCCTTGGACCAAAAGAACTGGGTCTCTCTCAGCCATCAAAAGGAGGGCCTTGCCTCCTCCACCTGAGCAGTCTGCTGGCCTAGTAAGTTCTGACCCCCACATGTCCACTCTTGGGCTGGGCCTCAGGTACCCACACCATGCCATTCAAGGTCCCATTCATCTTAGCCTTGGCTGGGAATGGTGGGCCAGCACTCTATCTGACCTACTTCCCTTTCCTCCCCACCTGTTTTCACTCTCAGCTTCTCTCCCCAAGCCTTCACTGTCCCCACCCCCGAGGTGCTCCCCCCCCCCCCCCCCATGCCTGCTGGGTCCCCTCCCCCACTCTTCCCCAGGGTGCCAAGTGCAAGCACACAAAGGGCCCGATGGTGCATTGTTAGCCCAGCCCCCGCTGCCCGCCGCGCCCTCCTGGGGCAGGCACTAGGCCAAGGAGGAGCTGGGGGCGGTGGGTGCCAGGGGGCACCATGGGGAAGGGGAAAGAGACCAGCACCTGTCTCCCAGACACCAGGACTGTAGCACCTGGACTGAGTAGTAGTGAGAGGGCCCCATTAGAGCAGGCCTGTCTCCTTGACACCTGAGCCTAGTGGGCACTGCTTGCTTTCTTCCCAAGAGCCCCTTTCCGGATAGTATTAACCCCTTCCTGACCCCAGGCTGGGGATGGTGGTACCCAAGGGAGGGGGACAGTGTCTGGGAGTGTCAGCAGGCAACAGCGTGCCTACAGCAACCGTGTAACAGGCACGCTGGGGGAACTGGGGTCCCGGGGGCCAGGGACAGGAGGCACTGGCAGAGATTTCTCCTGGTTTCATCAGCTGCTCCAGGGGGAGCCCCCTGTCCTTCTCCCCAGTTACCACGAAGGAGGAACATTAACTACCATCCAAACCAAGTCAGAAATATGCCCTTCTCCTGCCCAGCACAATACTTCTTATGCCCAGTATCTCCTCCCAATCTAATGTCCACTCCATGCCAGCTCCATAAACAGTGCCAGGAGGGTACAGGGGTGACCAAACCAGTTGGTGTGTGTGGGGTAGCAAAACGCAACCCAATAATCCTCCAGGCCTTAGCGGCCCCCCCACCAAAACACACACTGCCTCAGGGAACAGAGAGTTCCTATCTTGGTTTATTTAACTCCTCACTTCCCAATCTGGCTCCCCCCAACCCTTGACAAACCGTCCCCTCCTCTAGGAATAAGTTGGGGGAAGGAGAAATTACTGCGCTGACTCATTCCCATTCTCAGCTGCAGCTAGGGGTCGCCAAGGCATTCGGGCGGGGGTCAATTCAAGAACGCCCTCCACCTGGCCCGGAAGCCAGGACAGCTTGCCGGTCTCCCCCTCTCCCCAGCACCCACTTCCGGTGTCCCAAACTAGGTCAGCAGTGCTCGTTTCCTGTGGGTCAGCTAGCACCGGCGCCTCTGCCCCTCCCCTGCTCCGGACCCAGGCTCCCCGCCTTACCCCCCGCCCCCCAGGGCGCCCCGAGGTCTCACCACGTCTCAGCCGCCCTTTGATACATGGGGGTTGTGCGGGGCGGGGGGCAGGGGACCCGCCCTCTCTCCAAACACTAGCAGGGCCGGGGCGCCTGGGCAGGCACGTGTCCGGGCACAACCCGCTGCCCACGCTGCCCCCCCACTCCCGCCCCCCCGCTCTGGCCAGGACACGTCGCTCTCTTACTTGGGTGGGGTGGGAGGAGGGGAGAGAAAGCTGGGACTGGAAAGCAGCGCCCCCCACCCCTTTGAATGGCCAACCTCAGCCAGCGGTGCGCACCAGGTTTCCACCACACAGCGACCCCCACTCCGCTTAGGGCAGGTGCGCCGGCGCCGGCGGCAAGACCGCTGGTAGGTCGAGTTCTTATCACCCACCCTAGCACCGGAGTTGTGAGAGCAAAAGCTGACTTTGAAAAGGTGGCGGTGGGCCTGAGGCTTGAGAGGAGGGAATGTGATTGCGGAGCGGGAGGGGCAGCGGGGTCGTTCTGCTGAGCTGCACTCCCGCTGGAGAGACGACGCGGCTCTGGAAGCGCAAGAAACCGAATAGTCCAGCCGGTAACTTTCCCCCAAGCCGCGGTTCCTCCCGCCGCCCCCCACCCCCCCATGCCACTGGCCTGGGTCCAGCCCACCATGCCAGGGGGGCGCGGAGCTGGGTGGGTGGGTGGGGACACGCGATGTCCTAGTTAGAGTCCGTCAGGGTTTCCATTCCCTTCATTCGGTCGGGCCTGGGGTCTCCCTCTAAACTCACAAAGGCGACTGGGGCGGGGGGAGTTCAGCGCAGCTTACCCCCTCTCCATCCCGTAGCTCACGGTCTGTCTGATATTAGAAGTGCAAAGAAAGTTTCTGGAGACCCTCCGCTCAGAGTTGGGGGGGAGGCCATAGTTCTCTACCTTTCCTCCAAGTTAAAACCAATTCCAAAGACCCAGGAAAGCTACAGGGAATGCGACTGGTTGAAATCTGGTGTGCGTGCGTGTGTGTTTGTGTGTGTGTACAGGGGTCTCACAGGACGCACGAAGGACACTGCAGTAGGCACGAGTCTAGTGGATCCCGAGCCAAGGGATAAAAAGTGGGGTTCACTTACCTCTCAGCCGTCGGGTCCGCTCGCTGGAGCTGCAGAGGCACAGGGTGTAGGAAGAAGCGCGTCCCCCGCCAGGCTGGGGGGCTTGGGGCCCTGCTCCGGTCCTGGTCAGAAGGCCGCGGTCAGTGGCTCGCTGCTCGTTGCTGGGGGGCTCCTCCTACGCCACCCTTTGCCTCCTCCTGCTGCCCGCCCCCCCCCTGGCCGCGGGGAGCCGTACATTCACCTGGCTCCTACCCGCCCCCCCCCCCCCCAGGGCCCGCCTCACCTGTCCTGCTGTCTCACCTGTCCTCTCTCTTGCTTTGCCCCCATCCCTCCCCTCCCTCCCCCCGCCCCTGCCACCCCCAAACTCCCCCCCCCACCCTTAGCAAC